CATGACCTGTCGCTTTTATCGACGTGCAAATATTTATAGGTAGTTGCAGTATTATCCAGAACTCAATCTTTAAAAACTATATATATTATTTATATACCATAGTCATGATTGAGTTAGTTATTATATAATCAATTTCATTAATATACTACATGACAATTGTGCAATGTAAAAAAAATGTCAGTCATGTTTCAGTTAGTATTGAAATCAATTTAAATAAATTATTATTAATATAACATTTCAATCATGCAATGCAAAAATAATAATAATGTCACAGTCATGTTTTAATTAGCATTGAAATCAATTTTAATAATTTATTATTGATAATAATATCTTATACCATACCTGATGTGCTGGAGTCCATCTAAGAATATCATCTTTCTGGACAGTGTAGTGGAACCCTGTACGATTGACTTCTTAATATGGATTTTCCACAACCAAAACAGACTTGTTGATGGCCATATTGTGGTGCAGGTACTTCTTCTGTGGTGTCACTAGCTTGTAGTAGCATAAAGCATTCGTTGCACACTATGCCCCCATTCAATATCTATAACAAGTCAAAAATATTTATATTTATTTGAACATGTGAATGAAATTAAAACATTATCTCACGGTTGCGATTGTATAACGATATATTTTTAGTAATATAAGTAAATAATTACTTACAGAATCAGGTGCGATCCATGAGCTTAAAACATTAAGCATTGAATTGGATAGCATGTCCAAAGAATGTACTGGCTGTCGTCGTGGCACTGATATACAACAGTTAATACAACGTCGTTGCATACTGCCTGCGTTTTCTTGTGTAACACCAGATGCCATTGTAAACAAAAATAATTACAATAAACTAAGAGTCCAAATATCTCTGTCAGAATCACTAAAGGTAACTTAACACTAAATCAACGAGTCCAATGCTCTCTTTCCCAAAAAAAAGTTATTAACGGAGGATTACTCAACTCAACATTAAAACTATTCTGCCACAATAGACCACTGAAAACACAAATTCAATTCAAAATTGAAAACTGTACTTAAGTAGTTAGTCACTCGGAACAAACAACAAACACGTTGACAACAAGTTGACAGCTACCTACTTCACTTGCCTATGGTATATATTTCGATTTGATATAGGAATCGATTCCTACACAATCGATTAATAAATGTTTTATTTTCAATGCAAATGCTTAAAATGTTCAAACCATGAGTTAATTTATATATGATTAAGTAATTATATATAACATAACTGATAATTTAAACAAAAATATATTCCCTTTTTTAATCTAAGATGTGAATATGTAGTACACATATAAAAGTTTTAGTATGCGATCTACTGTTTGATGAACAAAATAGTCCGCAGGCAAAAAATCCTCTTTTGCGCAGCCCATTAAGTTCCTTTTAGTTTTTAGATGCAATGAAAGAGAGCAATCCCTGGTAGGTACAGTGAGATAGTCACAACACAGGTCTTACAAATGATAACTTTATGAATTTAATGTTATTTATCATGATATAATATTGGTAAAAATGCTCGTATCCATCATACAAACATTTGCCTCACCGGAATTCGAAACCAGGCCCTCTGAATAGGCGATTTGGGGAAAATAATCTATCCATCGATCCATACAAAAATCAAACAACTCGCATCGAAAACCTCAAAATAAAAAATGACTACGAATTAACGAATGATCATTATTTCGTAGTCATTTACGGTGTTTGGTAAAAATGTTTCAGGCTATTAATTGTTCTATGCTTTCAATTATAATAAACGTTTTATTTTTTCTTTTTGAAGTGAAACTTCTTTACGCACTCTTGACTTGGGGAGTAAGCTAGCGAACGTAAGCGTTAAGAAAAGTGTGATCGGGCGAGGCGAACGGGAGTTGAGTGGGGGATGTAAGCATGAGAAAGCAGTGCGCGTGCACATTTTCTTTCTCTCTTCCTCTCATAGCCAAATACGTTCCGTATATCTAAGCACAGTGCAAGCCTATTGTCTGTATCACAGTGTAGGAGCAAGAGCGCGCGCACGCATTTTCTTTCTCTTTTTCTCTTACAGCTAGTAAATGAAAGACTTCTGAATTGAACTGAATTTCACTTCAGTTGTCTAGTCATAAGCACACTCGTTTTTTTATGTTAAGAATATTTAAATAAAGAAATATAATCGATTTTATTTCCTACGATAGTATCGACCAGGTGATACAACTTTTATCTATGGTTATTTACTCAGTTTAATAGCCATTTATTTATTATTTTAAATATCCGCATAATATTTACATAATAAACACACATATGAAATGATAATTCAGAAGAAGATTTTTGATACATAAATGCGTCAAGCGCAATTTAGGCGGATTTGCCCATTCTCCTTTGTCTTCTTCCCATAACTAGTTAATTTATATAGATATTTGTTGCTTTATACAAAAGTACAATACTGATTTATAAAAAAAATATGTTCTGTTAAAATTTAAAATTTGTTATTTTAAGTTATTGTAATTTTAAGTGTTTTGTTACCTTAAGTCATGGTGGGCGATAACAGTCATTATGTTTAGTTAAATATTTGTAAGGACAAATCTCAGTTTGTCCTTGGTGGGCGATTATGTATACGCCATTTGTGCATGTAAAAAATGTAGTTCATATGTGTCAAAATAGATGGCGCTGTAGTTCTTTGCATCACGCTTGCAAATTTGTTTGGAGCTACATATAGGCAAAACGTCACAAAACTAATAAAGGAATCTATGGTCAAACAAAATCCACCTTAGTTTCATTTACTTCTTTTGCACCTAAGCTCTCGGATTTAAGAGTTATTTTGGCTTGAACAGTACTTTTTATATTAAATACGGAAAATTCTCGTTTCGGATTACCTGTTGTGTGTGTTTATTTGCGATTGTTTTTCCTTTAATGAACTATTACTATTTCGGCTATCTAATATGCCATCGATGTTACCAAAGAGCAGAAACCCTATTTCCAAGTGCTAGTGAACCTGTGCCACAACATCCTGAGAGGATCATACTGCCAAATTATTCAAGAGCACCTGATACACATTTACGCTGCATATTAACACAATATCCATGTGTTAAACAAATAAATAAAGTATACAATATGATTTAATTATGTGAAAAATAGTCAATAAATAATAAGCAGCAAAACTACAGTTTTTATTTTATTCATGATTCCTACCTAACCAAGTTTTTCCTAATAGTTATTCTTTAAAATCACACCTAATAAAATGAATTAGTTGTAATATTAATTCACTTCATACTAAGTTCATAGGTTGACCTATGTTTCATTGAATATTAAACATAACCTCAAAAAATTGTTAGCTTTCCTAATAATTTAAGTTCTCAGAAGTGTCCGTCAATAATCTTTGTTTTCACAGTCATTTACTTGCGATTTCGAACCTAGAAAATAATATTTCATGATTGTTGGTTCTTAGGCTAACTATGTATGGACGCAGAACAATGTCCTTTACGGTTTTCGCAATTTTTCCTTTATCTGTACTATAAGACGTTACTTTGTACCGAATTTCAAGATTCTCAGTTTACGGAAAGTACCCTGTAGGTTTTGATTCCCGTGCGAGTTTCGAAAAGGACATTGCTCGTTCCCCATACATTGAATGCCCTAGAACGCCCAGCAATGAGAAAATGCTAGTTGTGTTCGGAATCATTCATAAACTCTAATTAGGCATTTGTTGAGATACGGACAACTTGAGGAACCGTGGCCTACTACAGAATGTATTTGATTTTGAGGTTATAATTATTATACTTAATCGTAAAAGATGTACACTTTATATATTCTGAATAGATTTAGTGTTTACCTCTATGTAAGCACTTAAATAATATGCATTAAATGAACATAAAATGCAATTAATAATAAAAATAATAAATGCTTATATTCATATTGATTAATGAGTGTTGTCAGTTGGCACCTACGATACCTATACCTTACCTGTAGTAATAATAGATTTCTTTTCAAATGAAATGTTCAGTCTTTTCATTTACCTGTTTCTATATTTTACTATCGGCAATTAGGTATGTACCTGGTTATCATTATGATTTTCATAAAAATAAACAGATATTACATGGGATGGGAGTATAAACTATCTTTACATAATTTCAGAAATAATCTTTTTATAAATATAATACTAGTAATAAGTATTATTAACTAAGTTATCTCTATTTTTCTTTGGATAAATACCTATGGTCGCCTCTAATGCATTTATTAAGGTAAACAATCTTGGCACAACTTTTTAACAGAATCACCCATTTAATAACAAAATATTAACGAAGCCAATAAACTATTAAAATAAATCGTTATTATAGACTGAAACCTTTTGAATCAAGTTATCAGTTGATTTTTAATGCTGTTTTTTCAATAAAAAGGAGTGCCAAGTTGGATGAATAGACTGTAGTATCTAGTAACAGAACTTTATTTTTTTAAACAGATTGTCCGTTTACTATGATTAATATGCTAATATGTTAAAAAATAATAGAAAGATAATAGTGAAGGACATTCTTTTGGGCATGCTAGGGCCGATTTCGTCGATGTCCTTTGAGGAAAGCAGCATAAACGGCTGTATCTTTTGATTGCTTTGGCTTAGAAGTTTTATTTTTCACAGCTCTAAGGGACAGTAAACATAAGTATTAGATATGAATTTCAGTTTGATACCTCCACGCGTTTCTGAGAAAAACAGTCTTGACAGACGGACGGACAACAAAGTGATACTATAAGGGCTCCGTTTTTGCATTTTGAGGTACGGAACCCTAAATATCAAATGTCAAATTTTACATTAAGTTAAAGAAATAAATGTATATGATTGAGCTTTCGATCGGTACAATGAAATTACCAACAATTTATTTTTCCCATTGTTAAATGTGTTCTAAATCTGTTTCAGGCATGCGATTATTTAAAATTCTTTCAATGCAGTTCGTATTGTTTTTTTAAAAAAAGACTATAATATCTGAATAAAGTTTTACAGTAATGGAATCATTACATTCAAGACAATAATTTCTGTTCCAACAGTACCCTACGCCGCACACTTCCTCACTCTAATCGTGGTAGTGACTCCAGGGCCCAATCATCGCAGGAAAAACGACACAGACTATATGAGCAACAAACCTTGTCCTGTGGTGGAATACGCAGAGAGGTCGCAGTGTCTACAGGTCGAGCAGGAGTTAATCTGCAAAGGGGGAATAACAAGGGAATGGATGACAGGAATAAGGTAAGCATACATTTAAAGGACATCGACGAAATCTGCCCCAGCATGCACAAACGAATGTCCTTCACTATTATTTTTCTATTTTTTTTTTACTATATTAGCAATTAATCTTATTATACGGACATTTTGTGGTAAAAAATCAAAATAAAAGTTCTGTAACGACTACACAATTTGCTGTCATGTCATCCTGAGAGCATTTAAAGACTGTCTCATCTAAATTCAAAAGCTTCATAAAAGAGATGTGCCGTTTGTGTATAAAGGGACAATTAAATTACACAATTTCAAGCGTGCAATATCTAGTCTGTATGAATGAATGAATGATTTATTTTCTCTCACAAAGTCACAAAGTAACATTATAATTAAGTAAAAGGGTATTGAATGACAATAACAGTATGTGCCGTTTGTGTATAAAGGGGCAATTATACTACAGTACCAGGCCATTTATAAGTCGCATCGTGCTTTAGAGAGAGATACTTGGCTAACTTCGGCTACCTTCGGGTTTGTAGAGCGTCATCTCGAAAGCAGCAGTTCACATTGATTTTTCTATAAAACTAAACTCACTTTTTTAACAAAATCTTGAGAGTTACAGATAGAATTTACCATTTTGAGCCGATTAAAATAAAAAAACCGAATAGAGCAGAATACGTAAATGTCACTTTTTGTTCCTAACCTCCTCTGATAACCAAATTTTTAATGGGAAGCCTTTAAACATTTCATTTGAATATAAATCTATTATAAAACAGATAGGTAATGGAGCAACAAAGAAAATATTACAATTGTTCAGTGGACAGTTGTTTGTGTTTTTTAATTGTAATATAACATTAACATTAAAATATTTTAGTTATTATTGGTTCCGTTTTTCTATTTCATTCTCGACAGTAAATCAAACAACTACATACGAGTGCCACTACCACGATAGCGTTTTTTGTGCATAAGACAACGTTAAAAATCTAGCGCGACCACCGCGAGTAGGTATGCAAAGTTAAGTACAAGCATGGAATTACCTTCTGTACTTTCTATTTTGTGCCGTCACCGAGAGCGAGATTATTTCTATATGAGATCAAGATGACGTGACGGGCTTACGGAGGACAAGCTGCTAATAAATGGAATTCGGGCTGTTGTCTCCCATAACTGGCCCGCTAGGGGAGACATCAGGACTTACTTTTCAAATTGTTTTATGGAGTACTAGTCGTAAATCGCCTGTCACAGCTGTCATGTTTAGGCTACAAAACTCGAACAATTATTAGATCTACACTTCCGGACATATCCATCGGCCTACCTAGCATTTTAAGTTTTGACGGTCCCTAGCTAAAAATAAATGATACATCGAGCAAAAAATTATTACCTACGCTGTTTTGAAGCTGATTTATTCACCATATTTTTGTGTGTTTTAAAATTACATATTGCTCAACCATAAGCATTTTCTTTTTGAGTGTGTATGCTGTTGGTCTCAGATAGCCTTTACACCTTTACCGGGTTTGGGAACGGCGAGATCCAAAGGGGACCTCAAGCCGAGAATTGGCGAGTGCCTCTAGAGGTATTCCAGGTGAATGGCATCTCTGAACTCCAGTTTTGAACTCCGATCAGTCTACACGTCAGTTTAAAAATAACTCTTATTAGAACATGTTAAGGTGTGCATAACATAACAGTGTAATAATCTCTTTAATTAAGGGATATCATGTAGAATAAACATAGATGAATAATTGGTCTCGCTTCAATCGAGTGGAGCGATACCAATCATTTATCAATGAGAATAAAAATCTGAAACTGCAGCTGGGATCACTTTTATACTTTGAAGTATATAAGTAACAAGTTTTACATCGTGAACAAAGAAAAGAAAGGCTTTCTTTGTATTTTTTTTAAATATTGCTAAATTAAGAAGACATCTTGCAATACTGATGAATAAGGAAATAAAGTATTTGTAATCACCAACTTCATATGAATATATATCAGGCACAGAAAAGAAAGGCTTACTGCAACCATTATCTAGCAGTGGCTATTATTTCTTATTAGGAACTTAATTGACGACCTCCGTGGCCGAGTGGTTTGTACGCCGGGTTTCTTGGTGTCGCCGACTCGAGAGGTCCCGGGTTCGAATCCCGGTGGGGGCAGATGTTTGTGTGATGAATACGAGCATTTGTACTCCAGTCATGGATGTTTAATATGTATTTCTATATAAATATATTTATATATGTACAATATATGTATTCTATCCGTTACCCTAGTATCCCATAACACAAGCCTTACAGTGCTTACTTTGGGGCTAGGTTAATTGGTGTGAGTGTTTGAAATATTTATTTATTTATTTAATTTACAAGAACATTTTTGTGACAATAAGTCATGGTACCTTTTGTAAAGGATCATCATCATCACGATCCTATTAATGTCCCCACTGCTGAGGCACATGCCTACTCTATGAATGGAATTAAAGAGATAAGGCCGTGAACCACTACGCGGGCTTAGTGCGGATTGGTGGGTACTAACGATTACAGGTGCAGCTGGGACCCGTTGGTTAACACACCTTTCGAAGTACGGAGGTGCTCGAGATAATAAGTTTTTGGTCATCCATCCAATAACCGACCATTCCGAAAATTGGCATAACTTACACGATCGCAGGCAGAACGCACTAACAACCTGCACCATCGAGCTCCTCGATTGATTCCTTACTATGCATACTATCGATTACAGTAATGAACAACAATGGAAAAAGCCATGAATTTGCGACAGTCGTGCAAATCCGTCCGTCATGTTTGATCAATGAGTGACACCCTGGGTGGCAAACTTAAAATTTTGGATCAAAAGAGAAAACAAAAAAAAATCTCCTTTTGAAACTACTTTTATAACTGGTTTTCTTACTGAAAAATGTTTCTATAATACGGGCCTAGTCATGTATGGTCTTCTGATACTTTTTTTAGAAGTAATGATTTTATAAATGTTTATGATTTTAATGAAAGCTTGACAAATGGGTAAGTACTCAATATACAATTTTAAAAGTAAATCCTGATGTCTTCCAAACCTAAGGGAGACAGTCATACTGATGTATGTGTCGCTACTTCGCGGTGGACAAACAGCCTTAGGGTTGTGTGGTAGTTGCAGGTTGCCACAATTTATAAAAACCTTTTTTTATTTTTCTATTAAGATCAGCGTCTAATGAATTAAATAGGAGATGCAAAAAAATGTAGTACTTAATTGTCTTAAATTGCATAAAATATTGCAAAAAAATATAGTATTATTTTCATTTCAATCTGAAAATCATTAACACAGCCTATATGCATTGTCCAAGTAAAATTAATCAAATTAGGTGGCACTCATTTTGTAACAACGAAAGGGTGTCACAGTTTTGTAACAACAAAATTTTATTTCAGGGTGGACATTTCTCACCTTAGGCTGATCGAGTGGCCAGGGTTGTGCATCCATGCGGGCCGAGTTCAGCAGTTATTCCCAGAGTTGCGGACCCTAGAGCTGATCAATTGTTCATCCTTGGAGTTCTTTAAGGGACACTTCGGCAGCACCAGTAAGATCCAGGTACCTCTTATGATTAATAATAATAATATATTCTTTATTCACATACACTGTAACGGTGTGGTATAGCCGCAACCTGCACCATGAAAACCTACTTCTTGAAAGTACAAAATGCTTAGTGGCTTCCTCGATAATTTATGATTTTAATGATATGTACATACAATTTCCGGTTCCAGAAGTACATCAATAGTATATATTACTTATTCTTAAACAAACAGCTTTTCTAAGTAGAGATTCTGTAGGACCCCTCTTCGCCAAGTACTTGTTGAAAAATTGTCTTTGATGGAGTTAAGTACTTATAAAATACTAGCAAACCAGTGAACCAAATGTTCACAAAAAAAAAAATGTATTTAATTAATTGAGAACTTCGGAGATTTTGTGTGGTTTCGTTTGAAATCACGTGATTTCTCGAAAACCGGAAGTGCTACGTTACTCACATCCGGTTTGTAGTCTTATCAGACTATTCTCAACTTATAACTTAAACATTCTCTTTATCTATCTATTACGGTTTTTAATAGATAAGAGATATGCAAATACGATGAAGTGGTGAGCGATGGCCGAATCTTGCTTGTCCTAAACAAAGTATGAATGTTTTGCGGTTTTGCAACCTGTGCTGCATCATCTTGCTTATCAGTGACTGTTTATATCAACATTGTACCCGGATCAATTTATTTATTGCTTTCGAAGCAGGTGGGTAATATGAGCTAAAGCCGCATAAAGCAGCTTACGCAACAAAGATTAATCTCAGCGAAAGCTGCTTAATCCCTGCATTCGTAGAACTTTGCGCCATCAAACACCCCTTATCGGAACTAAACACGACAACAAGACGTAGTCACAAAACAAATAGGTACAGAAGTCTATGTTATACAAAGTGCGCTCGAGCACCGTACCGTATATACATCGCACATGGACTCTGTCACGGCCAAGATGTCTCGGACTGTTGGGATTTAAGACGAGTGCGCGTGCCATTCGCTTGAAACACGCGTCTGTGAACTTCTTTTGTTAAAATAGAGCAACAAAATAATTATATTATCAAATATTCAGTGGACGGTTTTTTAAATTCAACATTTAACGGCGGCTTGTTTTTTTAATTTTATTTGTAATATAACATTAAATAACAATAAAATTTAATTTTAATTGGTTTATATTTCTAATTTCTATGTTTCATTCATTCTCAACAATAAATCAAAAAACAAGATACGAGTACACTGCCACGATAGTTTTGTGCATAAACCAAAGTTGACAATGCTAGAGCAACCGCCGAGCTTAGGTATGAAAAATGAAGTACATATATGACATTGACTTCTGTACCTATCTGTTTTGTGTTGTAGTCGAATAGAAATAAAGTACTTGATAAAAAAATTGACCACTTTTTGGGTGGAAGGAGATGGTCCTTATAAAAGCTCAACATCATTTTAAACGAAAAAATTTATATCACACATGGAAAAAAGATCACCTGTGCAAAAGCGTAGCGTTGTGGATTTTGGTAATGTCTTACTTAAATATTGAGCTAATTTAGTCTAAAATACATAAAATTAAAATTACTCTAAAAGGCTGAAGAGAGACGGACTGAAGGGAGTCTGTAATTAAAGTTTTGTCAAAAAATTTGCGACATGCCACTTCAAAGCTTCAAATAGTTGTTGTACACATACTTACAAAATGATTTAAAAAGTTGCAACATAAAATCAACTAACACAAGAAACTTTGTACTTAGAATAACCAACAAGATACATTTTCCATACTTTAATACCTACTGTTTTCGATTGAGTTTAATGTAATCAAGTGGAAGAAAACTCCATAATATAGGTGCTGCATAATATACCTAGTCAGGTCATAAATTCTGTCCCATGTTTAATATAAAATAATTGAAACAAGTTTATTCATTATGTAACCATTTATATACCAAAATGAACTTGACAAAACATAAATTCTTATGACAATAAAGTTTATTCAAAATGACCTCCGTGATTTTGAATACAGGTCTTCAAGCTGCGCGGTCAGTCGTCTATCGCAGCACGAACGAGGTCCATGTCCATATCGGCGGCTGCCTTAATCAAGGATGTCTTGAGTGACTCCAAACTGGGATGAGGCTTTGAGCACGCCTTTTTCTCCAAGTGCTGCCATATCTTGTAATCTAATGGACTCAAATCTGGACTGGAGGAGGGCCAGTCTTCGTGCCGGATGAAGTCGATTTCACGCGCCGAAAACCAGTCTCTTCGCTCTATGAGCTGGCGCCGAATCTTGTTGGAATACCCAGTGCCTGTTACTGAACATGGTATGAGAAACAGGTTCCACGTGGTTCGTCAGGACTGTATTTTGATACACAACTGCATACGTTTACACATACAAAAATGTACCTCTGTTAAGCCCCAATAAGAAACTCCCAACCATACCATGAGCGAGGATGGAAAATGACCTCGTTGGACACGCGGAATACGATTGCTCGCTTCTTCACTACTGTGTGCGTACATCTTATCATTTTGTTTGTTGTAGCTCTCTTCTACGGTAAAAATTTTTTCATCCGAAAAAAGAATTTCCCGATTTTTTTTCCGCGTACCGCTTCAACAAAGCGCGGCAGCTCTTCAGTCTCAGGTCCATTAGACGAGCATTCAAACGATGTCCTGTTTTTCTTCGATATACCCGAAGCCCTAACTCTCCATTTAACACCCTTTTCACCGTGGTTCTGCTTAACCCCATTTGAAGGGCCTACAGTTTCTGCTTACGTTTGGGATTTCTTTGTAATCGCGCCTTCACAGCTTTTATCACTGCTGGAGTCCTAACAGACCGAGGGCGACCTCTTCTTGACCTGTCATCTACACTAGAGTCTTCATTGTATCGTTTGATGGTACGATAAACGAATCTTTTGGTTATATTAAAATTTTTCAGTATGTCAAAAATTTTAATTTGCGCGTAACCGCAACGATGCAGCGCAATAACTGCAACACGGTCTTCTTTAAGCGTCCACTCCATATTTAAAAATGAGTAAAATTCTAAAAAGTACACATTTTTATTTTCATGAACAATTCGAAATTCGAATTCAATAAACTTTTTTGTGACCAGCATTCTAAATGAAAAGTTTTTACTGTGTGACAATACTTATGACCTGACTGTGTATATATGTATATCGATGACTAGCGCAAGCGATTCTTGACTGAAAATAACCTACTTCTTTTGAGTGATACGAAACTCTTACCTAAGTTATATTTTATTTCAATGGTAAAATAGGTATATAAATCATGGATGAGAAGGATTCTTTTGTGATCCAACTGAGCGATCAAAGTCGTTGATCTATTTGCCCGTTAACACTACCGAACGATGCGAACCCATCCACGGTCTGCAAAAAAGTGGCATGTTAAATTTTTTGACGTGACAACGTCTTAAATTAGGTTGCGGCTGGGAGTCACTTATGAAAAAGTGTAACGCTCGGTAACGTTACGATGAGTCTCTCGTGTTAAGTTTAAGTTTACATGTACAATGTTTTAGTAAACAAAATATATTTCTATAGTTAAAATTTGTGCAATTCTTATTTTCATTCAATTCCTTGTTCCTATTGTGCAATTTAATTATATTCATATCAATAAATATTCTACCGAGAAAAAGACGTTGTCACGTAAAATCTTCGCCCGTAAAACCGACTTTACAGGCAACCATTTTTTGTTAGTAACCACTTCGATATAGATTTTTGTTGATGTTTTTTTCTCGGGTATGTACCACACATATTATAACCTTCAATGAAAGATTATCTTAGTAATGGTAAAAACCGCCTGAAAATTCATTGTGTAGTTTTTGAGGTCAAAGCAGCAAGATTAAAGCCTTAGAATATGTAACGCTTAAATTTTAATATACCTTGCCAACTAATTTAATATTTTTTACTTGTAGGACTTTCTACTCTACACAAAATGTTAACTAGAAAAAAAGCCAGAGTAGGTAGTAGAGCGGAAGTTGTGTTTTCGAAATTTGTGTCTCTTCTGTGACTTATTAGGTATATGAACGTAACAGTTAAATCAGGTATAAATAAATTTATATCAATCTTATAATTTCTCGAGCTAATATTTACTAACTGGCTATTCATATCAGTGAATTCTATATATTTTAAAAGATTCAATCAAAAACTTAATAAAAACAACAAGATTTAGGACAATCGGTTAAGAGTCATAACTTTGTATTATTTTCCAACCGAATTAAAGTGCCCATCCAAGAAGTATTTTGAAAAAAATATAATTATGATAAACACAATAAAAAAAAAATTGAGCAAAATTATTAATTCAAAATTGTTAATTCAATAATTATTCTAATGAAGACGTAATCTCTTTTTTTTCTGACTATACCACCACACCTATTGTGAATTGTGATCGACTATAATGTTGTAGAACGGGCGTTTTTGCCTAAGAACCAAGACATGTCTATATTTATATTACCAAATTGTCGCTGTGCATTGTTAAGATATTTACAAATGTATTTCCTGAATACATAAATGGAAGTCTAAAAGGGATAGGATGTTGTTCCATATCTTTGCTGCTGCATAGCGAAAACTGCCTCTGAAAGATGCTGACCCATGAGCCTGAGTAGTAACCTGCTGGGATTATTTTTTTGCGAACGAAGTCTGGCTTTATTATATCATAACTTTTTTCACACAGCATTTTGGGACATCCCGCCATAACAATAGTTAAAGTACATAAAAAATATTTCCAATGGTATGTCGCATGTTATTATTGGTTCCTAGGCAGCCATCCATACATTTTTGCCCGTTTTACTTTATCCCAGTCCAACTCCTAAATACCTATTTATAATTTCACGTGAATAAGATTTCTCCAACTCATTGTTGACTTTGAAATATAATAATTCATTTCGAAACAATTTCAAAGTTAACAATAACATGTAATAACTAGTTATTACAGTGTACTTAGAAATCATTGTTTTTATTCCTTTATAAAAATGAAACTGAAGACCCATTTGAATCAGTATTTAATTACGTATTTAGTAAGTACTTAAATATATTTCAC